GTAAAATGAAATCCTTGACAACTTCAATCTTTTCTCCGTTCATCATGATTTGCTTATTGGTCCAGTTGTGAGGATTTTTGTTTTCTTTATGTTGAGGTGTAAACCATACTGAAGGCTGTGGTCTTTGATCTTCATCATTAAGAGCTTCAAGTCCTCTTCACTTTCAGCAAGGAAGATTGTGTCATCTGTATAACGTAGGTTGTTAATGAGTCCTTCTCCAATCCTGATGCCCCATTCTTCTTCATATAGTCCCACTTCTCAGATTATTTGCTCAGCATACAGATTGAATAGGTATGGTGAAAGTATACAACCCTGATGCACAACTTTCCTAACTTTAAACCATGCAGCATCCCCTTGTTCTGTTCGAACCACTGCCTCTTGATCCATGTACAGATTCCTCATGGGCACAATTAAGTGTTCTGATAATTCCCATTCTCCCCCCAAAATATGTGTTGTAAATCTTAACCTCTATACTTGTTGTTACAATCTCATTTGGGTATGGGTTTTCTTTGTTATGTTAATGAGGAAGTATTAGTGTAAAGTGTGTCTTAAATCAATCTCTTTTGAGATATAAACAGATTAAGCAAGCAAGCAGAGATGGGGGAAGATAGCTGTCAAGTCACATGAAGATCGATGAGGAACAGAACCTCAGAAGAGCCAAGGACCTTCTTCCAGAGCAGACAGAGAGAGAAAGCCTTTCCCTAGAGCCAGCACCCTGAATTCAGACTTCTGGCCTCCTACCGTGAGAAAATAAATTTCTGTTTGTTAAAGCCACCTACTTGTTTCTGTTATAGAAGCACTAGATAACTAAGACACTCACCTTTATCACTAACTGCTTAGCAAGGTTCAGCATGAATCCAATTTACAGCTAAAAGTGGATCCAGGTCTCACCTTCCCACATTTCCACTCCTTGTTGCCAGCCACTTCCATGGCAATTCCTCTCTCTGACCTCAACCACCCAGTGTTACATCAGGCCTCATCCCTGGCTATCCTGAGCTGGGGCAAAGCATCCCTGGCCACGTGAGTGGAGGTCATCAGGGAGCAGCCATAGGCTCTGTAGTCTGCACAACTTCCTGCACTTTAGACCAACTGAGGTCACTCTCTCTCATCCCTTAGGACTAGGTCACAAGCTAGAAGAACTCTATCCTTCTTCATCACCTGCCCTTGCAGCCTTTCTCTATTACCCAGCCACCCAGAGTCGACACAACCAAGTCTGTACTGCCAACCCCTGCTGACTCATTGCCTCTGTGGGTTTATTAATTCTCTAGAAAAAAAGTGAAGTCCAACTCATAGTGACCTTATAGGACAGAGTAGAACTTCCCCAAAGGGTTTCCAAGGCTGTAATCTTATGGAAACAGACTGCCACATCTTTCTCCCAAGGAGTAGCTGATGGATTCAAACCCCTAACCTTTCAGTTAGCAGCCAAGTGCTTAACCACTGCCCCACCAGAGCTCTACTAATTCTCCAGAACAGCTCACAAAATTCATGGAGACTGTTAACCTATACTTACAGTTACCCATTTATTATAACCAGAAAGGACGCAAACTAAGAGACACATCAGGCAAGGTTTGGGGGAATTCCTGCACAGGGCCTCCATGTCCCCAAGGACATGCTGCTCCTTCTTCTGTGCATGGATGGTCTCACCAATCTAGAAGACCTCAAACAGAGCACTCCAAGGTCCTGGGTCCCTCAACCAATATGCATGACTTGGCCTAGGTGCATAGTTACGATATAGATCCAATCAATGAATATGCATGACTGCATTAGGTCCCCCTCCCTTCCTGAAGTTAATTTGCCCTATGTAGGGCCTGTGCAGCCCCTCCTTGCTCAACTGTTTTGTAAAACAAAGGCATCTTGATTGCTGGGAATATTTTCAGAAACCAGAGTCTAAGGGCAAAACCAAGTTCTTTGCCCACAATAGAATACAGAGAAATTGGGGCTCGGAGAGCGTAATTAAATTCTCAGCTTTTTCTAAAGTTGTAGATGGGTCTTGAACCCTTTCCTAACACCAAATACTACACCGCTCTACACAATGTGATTTGATTTAGAGTCTTGGTGGCTCTCCCATCATGGTGATCTCTTCTGGTTCTTTCCGTGTCCACTTCCCCACACCTGGCTGGTATCTGTGGCCAGCCACAGGCCAGGGCTTTGGTGTCAGAGAGGCAGTGACTGTGACAATTTCGTCTGAGTCTTGGGGTCAGCACCTGGACCTGGCCCTGCAGCAAGATGAGCACTGGATGGTGGCAGCTCCTTTGTTTGACATCACAGCAGAACCTGAGGAGGCCATAGCCAAAATCCACCTCCCCAACTTCATCTCCCTTCAAGGCAATGTGGGGAGAGAGCAGGCAGTGGGAATTATTGAGCAACATTTTGTACAATTGTCACTGTGATTCTCTTACAGGAGATGAGGTTGTTATCTCCTGGTTCCAAGTTGCCCATTTTAAAGATGAAGGGATGGTCCTGGAGCAGCCAACCCCAGAAGAGACTTTCTACGCTGCTCTAGAGAGCCCCGGGCTTCTCTCTTATGGGAATCCTGCTGTGGATCACCAATGGTACCCGACTGTCAGTTCCCATCACTTCCACCACACTGATCTATTATCATCCTCATCCTGAAGATGAAGATACCTTATCTCCAGTGATGATGTGCTAGCAAAGGTAAGGCCGACTGATTTTTTTGTTATAAGAAGATGAGGATTATCTTTCCAGGTGATCACCTTGGTCTTCCCAGCTCCTTATCAAACAGAAAGGACATGAACAGCTTTAAGAGAAGCATAAATCACCCTCCATGATGTCCATTTAACGTGCACTTATCATTGTGCCATAGGCAACAATCTGTGACAGAAATTCAGTTCTACTGAAAACTGAGATTCCCTTTTTTGACTCTCAAAGAAAGGAGAAAGGGGGAGGATTCTTTGGGGGGTTTTCAGAAGGAGTAAGATACAGAGATTTCATCATCATGTTTAAAATTGATCATAGCTGAATTAAGACACACACACACACACACACACACTTGAATCATATTGTACATTCTACTTTAAAAAATTATAATTATTTATGCCACTCTTTTTGCTTATTTACTTTTTTTTCCTTTCTAATTTCTATGTGTCTTAGGCAACAGATGAAGAGGAAGACAGATTCCATGGTGTGCATCTGCAGACCTCACCTCCAGTGGAACCCCTGAACTTTGGTTCCCGTTACATTGTGTCTGTATGTGCACACCTGGAAATAGTTCCCAAAGCCAGTAGAATCTGAACTTAATTCAGCAGGTTTCACTATACATTGTACTTTCAAAACAAACAGTAGAATCTTGGGAAAATGCAGTATTTTTCATTATTAATATCAAATATGCCCCTTTCAAAAACTGAAAACAGAGACTGTAAAAATGGCATGGTGGGGACATTGTTTGACCTCCTCTAACTTCATAAGAAGGAAGGAGAAACATTACCGAACCCCACAAGGTTGATTCCCAAGAGGTGGAGATAAGACACACATATCTCACCAAACTTTTTACAAATTCTGACACCAGCTGTCCCTCCCACAGCACTCTCTACTTCTCTGCTGGGTTTGATAATTCATTGCAATGGCCAGCCAGAACTCACAGATGATACTCACGATTATGGGGTTTATTGAAGAAGTAACAGAATACAACTCGGGATCAGGATCAACTTAGAAGTAACAGGAACAACTCAGAGTACAGCTTCTATACACAATACAGAATACAGCTTAATCAGGAGAACTTCTTCTCCCCCTCTGCCGTTGGGCCTTTCTTGTGGCCTTCTGCTGCTGGGCCCTGCTCAGGGCATTCTTGGGCAAATGTTACAACTTTTAGCTCTGTGGGTCAGTGAGCCTAGCTTCGCCAGGTGCCCAGAGGCACCCCGCTCTGCCAGCAAGCCTCCTGTCCGAAAGCGCTCAGCTTTCTTGCTGCATCAGCCAGGAAGCCCACCATACAGTTTCCTGCCAGTCTCCTGGTTTTGCTGCCTCTGCTGCTGCCATTTCTCTGCTGCTGCTTCTCACCATCGTCTCTTGCTGGCTTCCGTGTTACAGCTTTCTTTCTTTCTCTCTCCTGGGTCTAGGAGATTCCCAGCACAGGGACTGCTTGTCCAAAGGAAGGGCATTGCTCCCATCTCTTCTTGGTGGTAGTAAGTCCCCCTGTCCACCTCAGGGATGACTCATTTTAAGACTAATGGGATGACAAAACTGACCAATGCCCTTGCTAAGGTTCCATACACCTTATTTGCATGGCCCCAATCCCACAATGGTGCCATGAACCTTATTTACATTATTAGAAAACTGTCCAATCTCCTTGGTGGGCCACAGCACCTCATTTGCATAGTCCCACCCGGTTATTTGGTGAGAGTTACAAAGACTACGACTAGAAAGGCCATATTAAGTAATTCACCACACTGCAGTGGCACATACTATTAATCATGCTACATGTTTCCAAGACACTAACATAAGCAGAGTTAACATTTTGGCCTTTGGTGTATTTATTTTGTGGTTATAATTATACATAGTTAGTTCCTTTTTTTATAACTGGAAGTTCAGTTTGCCTGGCATTGTTATTTCCAGGCCTGACATCTTGCCCAAGGACAGCACTTCCTGTGTATATGTTAAAGTAAGTGAATGAGGAACTGATTTTATACTATAAATTTAATTTTATGCATTTTTTTCACTTAAGATTGTTATATATGTTCTGTATAATTAAAATTATTCCTACATATTATTTTAACAGGGTATAATATGCCATGTAGCTAAAATCTTCAAACTTAAGCACTCCACTACTATCCATCATTTAGATAGATAGACAGATGCCATCAAGTCAGCTCCAACTCATGGTGATCTTATGTACAATAAAACAAAACAGTTCCCTATCCACTGTCATCCTCACAATTGCTGTCTTGTTAGTGTCCATTGTTGCAACTATTGTGCTAATACATCTCACCGAGGGTCTCCCTCACCCCCACTGGCCCTCTACTTCACCAACTATGATATCCTCCACCAGCGATACCTCCTGATGATGTATCCAAAGCAAGTAAGTCAGACGATGTTCTGTTGTGATCCAAAAGGTTTTCATTGGCTAATATTCAGAAGTAGACTGAACAGGACTTTCTTCCTAGTATGTCTTAAGTCTGGAAGCTCCACTGAAACCTGTCTATCATGGGTGAAACTCCTGGTATTTGAAATACTGGTGGCATATCTTCCAGCATCACATCAACACACAAGCCACCACAGTACCACAAAGCAACAGATGGGTGGTGATATTTAGCATTTAGTTGCTTCTAACAACAACAACAACAATTTCTCATTATAGGTGCCCTGACAACAGATATTCCCACACATACAGTTTTACACTATACCTGTGGGGGCTATACTACCCTAAGTGAAATTACTGATTCAAGGGGTATTAACCAATTTAAAGCTAGAGTATTTCCAAATAGATCTCCAAAGATTCTGTACAACATAATTTCCAATAGTGAGAATGAGATTGTCCAACTCATTATATGATCTATAGAATAAAGTATCAAAATTTATTTGTTTTACAGTTTGAATGGAAAAAGACAAATTGCAATCAGTTTTAAATTCTTTCATTAAAAGTGATTGATCCATTTTATTGTTTTTGTATCAATGTTTTTTTCTTTCTTTCTATTATAGGTTCACAAAGACAAAGAGAAAGACTCAGGGTTGGCAAAATCAAGAGGATTAAGTGTCTATATTATCATTTTTCCTTTTTGGACACAAAGGATAAAGTACAAAAACTATTTTTCCCAAAGTCACACAGACAACAAGTTGTAAAACCAATTGCAAACATCAATTTAGTGCTCTTTTTTTAAGTATGCTACATCATAAGAGCATAATAAAGTGCCTCTTCTTCGTCTGCTTATACTTCCAATTTCCTTTAAAAACTCTGAATTGTCCAGGGCACAGCACTTGATCCCTATTTGCCTGGAGCAACAGAGAAAGAAGGAGAGCCAGGAATAGGAGGAGGAAATGGAACATGAAGCTAATTACCTCCATGAACAACTGACTCCTTTGCCATGAGACCAGAAGACTGGATGGTGCCCAGCTCCCATTACCAAACATTTTGATCAAAGAGTCTATAGAAGAATCCTGATAAAAAGGGGGGAAATGTGGAACAGAATTTCAAATTGTCACGGACTCTAGACTTTCTGGAGCCATGGAGGGTGGAAGAAACCCTGAAACTATTGCCCTGAGATAATCTTTAAACCTTAAACCAAAAATATCCCCTGAAGTCTTCTTAAAACCAAACAATAGTTTAACCTAACTAGTAAAGAATGTCTGCCTTGAGCATTGTGTTCTTTTAAGATCTATCTATATAGGATCAAAGTGACAACAGCAACTTGAAAGATTAGATAGGAAACTTAGGAGGCAGTGAGTTTATGTTAATGGGGGAGGAACAACTCAGAAAAGGAGGGTGAGAATGGTTGCACAACCCAAAGAATGTAATTGGTATCACTGAATTGTGTACCTAGAAACTGTTGAATTGGTGTATGTTTTGCTGTGTATATTCTCAACAACAATGAAATAAATAAAATAAAAACAAAACAAACAATCAAACAAAAACTCTGAATTAATGAATGCAAAGCCAGAACTGCTCTCAGACACTTGGTTGTCCTCTAGGCAAGATACATCCTTGGCTGTTGCAGGTCTTGCCATAACCACTGGTGATACAGAGATGAGTCAGACACAGTGTATTCCTGTGAGGGAAGAATATTGTAAACATGAGCAATGAAATGGAAAAGATTAACATGAGGTGATAAATAATCTTGAGCAAGGTAAATGCTCCTCAGAATCATCTTCCATCTGAAAGACTGAGAACCAATTATTCCACCTCTGCCGATGTTTTTTTTAATATTATTATTATTATTTTCCAAGAATTGTGAGGCTTGTCTCCAAAATGAACTAAACTTGCTTCAATCAAGCTTTTCTTCATTCTGTCCTGGCCAGGAAGTTAGTGCCAATTCCCCCATGGCAACAGTCCCTAGGAATCCTAAGGGAGTAGGGTGCAGAGCAGAGTGATCTGAAATGACCCTTGGTATTCTCAGTTAGGCTCAGTGAGGACTGATGAAGTTCCCTTGACAGGACTCTTGCTTCTTCGAACAGCCTCCGATTCTGATCTGCTAACGTCATTAATGAAGGCCTCAAGAACTTAATAGTTTGAATTCAGTGAGTAGCTCAGACAATTTTTTCTCTGACCATGTGCAGTTGAGTCCAAGGCTACTTTTCCATTCATGTAATAATTATATTTCCTGAAATTGTGAATGTAAAAACATGTTGACCTCTCTGTGTCCTTTTAGCCTTCAAACAGCCATTGGCTGCATGCAGAAAACACGGGTTAAGTTCCACTGGCTTGTTTGTTCTAGGCAACCAGTCTTTTCCACCCTCCACTACCTTATTATAAGTGGTATATTTTCTCTCGGAGTTGAATTATCCTACAGGAGTCCTGGAGAGATCCAACCTTTCTCTAAAATCTATGCTGGGCAGATGAAGGAACCAATCCAACTGAAAATTACTGACAAAAGACTTGGGAGTATGGTCTGGGAGACTTTGGTAAAACCAGGTAGGTAAAAGAATGAGGATGGATTTTTTTGAGAAGGAAAAGCCATGCCCCTCAATCCTTGGGTGTAGTAAAGTGGATCAAAGAAGATTGTCTCTTTCTGGTCCCATCCCAGAGAGGAAAATAAATCCACTGTCAGTTTATATTTGTTGTTGTTGCTGTCCATTTTGTTCCAACTCATAGCAACCCTATGTGCAACAGAACGAAACAATGCCCAAGTCCTCTGCCATCATCACAATCCTTGTTATGCTTGAGCCCATTGTTGCAGCCACTGTGTCAATCCATCTTGTTGAGGGTCTTCCTCTTTTTCACTGATCCTCTACTTTACCAAGCATGATGTCCTTCTCCAGGGACTGATCCCTCCTGATAACATGTCCAAAGTATGTGAGACGGAGTCTTGCCATCCTTGCTTCTAAGGAGCATTCTGTCTGTACTTCTTCCAAGACAGATTTGTTTGTTCTTTTGGAAGTCCGTGGTATATTCTTTGCCAACACCACAATTCAAAGGCATCAATTCTTCTTTGATCTTCTTTATTCATTGTCCAGCTTTTGCCTGCATGTGAGGTGATTGAAAACACCATGACTTGGATCAGGCACACCTTAGTCTTCAAGGTGACATCTTTGCTGTTCAACACTTTAAAGAGATCTTTTGCAGCAGATTTGCCCAAAGCGATATGTCATTTGATTTCTTGACTGCTTCCATGGGCATTGATTGTGGATCCAAGTAAAATGAAATCCTTGACAACTTCTATCTTTTCTCCGTTTATCATGATATTGCTTATTGGTTCAGTTGTGAAGATTTTTGTTTTCTTCATGTTGAGGTGTAATCCATACTGAAGGCTGTAGTCTTTGATTTTCATCAGTAAGTGCTTCAAGTCCTCTTCACTTTCAGCAAGCTAGATTAAGTCATCTGCATAATGCAAGTTGTTAATGAGTCATCCTCCAATCCTGATGCCACATTCTTCTTCATATAGTCCAGCTTCTTGGATTATTTGCTCAGTATACAGATTGAATAAGTATGGTGAAAGGATACAACCCTGACGCACACCTTTCCCAACTTTAAACCATGCATTATCCCCTTGTTCTGTTTGAACGACTGCCTCTTGATCTATGTACAGGTTCCTTATGAGCACAATTATGTGTTCTGGAATTTCCATTCTTCACAATGTTACCCGTAACTTGTTATGATCCATACAGTCGAATGTCTTTGCATGGTCAATAAAACACAGGTAAACATCTTTCTGGTATTCTCTGCTTTCAGCCAGGATCCATCTGACATCAGCAATGATATCCCTGGTTCCACATCCTCTTCTGAATCTGGCTTGAATTTCTGGCATTTCCCTGTCGATATACTGCTGTAGCCACTTTTCAGTGATCTTCAGTAAAATTTTACTTGCGTGTAATATTAATGATGTTTGATAATTTCTGCATTCAGTTGGATCACCTTTCTTCGGAATAGGCATAAATATGGATCTCTTCCAGTCGGTTGGCCAGGTAGCTGTCTTCCAAATTTCTTGGCATAGGCAAGTGAGCACTTCCAGCACTGCACCTGTTTGTTGAAACATCTCAATTGGTATTTCGTCAATTCCTGGAGCCTTGTTTTTCACCAATGCCTTCAGTGCAGCTTGGACCTCTTCCTCCAGTACCATTGGTTCTTGATCATATGCTACCTCCTGAAATGGCTGAACATCGACCAATTCTTTTTGGTATACTGACTCTGTATTGCTTCCATCTTCTTTTGATGCTTCCTTCCTTGTTTAATATTTTCCCTGCAGACTCCTTCAATATTGCAACTCAAGGCTTGAAATTTTTATTCAGCTCTTTCAGCTTGACAAATGCCAAGCATGTTCTTCTCTTTGGGTTTTCTAACTCCAGGTCTTTGCACATGTCATTAAAATACTTTACTTTGTCTTCTCGAGCCCCCCTTTGAAATCTATTCAGCTCTTTAGTTCATCATTTCTTCCATTTGCTTTAGCTATTCGACGTTCAGAAGCAAGTTTCAGAGTCTCTTCTGTCATCCATTTTGGTCTTTTCTTTCTTTCCTATCTTTTTAATGACCTCTTGCTTTCTTCATATATGATGTCCTTGCACAGCTTGTCTGGTCTTAGGTCATTAGTGTTCAACATGTCAAATCTACTCCTGAGATGATCCTTAAATTCAGGTGGGATATACTCAAGGTAGTACTTTGGCTCTCGTAGGCTTGTTCTAATTTTCTTCAGCTTCAACTCGAACTTGCCTATGAGCAATTGATGGTCTGTTCCGCAGTTGGCTCCTGGCCTTGTTCTGACTGATGATATTGAGCTTTTCCAATGTCTCTTCCACAGATGTAGTCGATTTGATTCCTGTGTATTCCATCTGGTAAGGTCCAAGTGTATAAAAAGAAAAAAACCAAACTCGTTGCCATGGAGTCGATTCTAACTCATAGCGGCCCTATAGGACAGAGTAGAACTGCCTCATACGGCTTCCAAGGAGCTCCTGGTGTATTCGAACTGCTGATTTCTTGGTTAGCAGCCGTAGCTCTTACCTACTACACCACCAGGTTTTCCTCCAGGTGTACTGTTGCCGTTTACGTTGTTGAAAAAAGGTATTTGTAATGAAGAAGTTGTTGGTCTTGCAAAATTCTATCCTGCTATCTCTGTATTGTCCAACTACCGCTCCTTCTTCGGTATCCAACTTTTGCATTCCAATCACCAGTAATTATCAATGCATCCCGATTGCATGTTCGATCAATTTCAGACTGCAGAAGCTGGTAAAAATCTTCAATTTCTTCATCTTTGGGCTTAGTGGTTGGTGCATAAATTTGAATAATAGTTGTATTAACTGGCCTTCCTTGTAGGCTATGGATATTATCCTATCACTGACAGCATTGTACCTCAGGATAGATCTTGAAATGTTCTTTTTGATAATCAGTGCAACGCCATTCCTCTTCAAGTTGTCATTTCCAGCATCGTAGACCATATGATTGTCTGATTCAAAATGGCCAGTACCAGTACATTTCAGCTCACTTACACCTAGGATATCAATGTTTATGTATTCCATTTCAGTTTTGACAATTTCCAGTTTTCCTAGATTCATACTTCATACATTCCCCATTCCAATTATGAATGGATGTTTGCAGCTGTTTCTTTTAATTTTGAGTCTTGCCACATGAGCAAATGAAGGTCCTGAAAGCTTGACTTCATTCATGTCATTAAGGTTGACTCTATTTTGAGGAGGCAGCTCTTCCCCAGTTGTGTTTTGAGCGTCTTCCAACCTGAGGTGCTCGTCTTCTGGCACTGTATCAGAAAATATTCTGCTGCTATTCATAAAGTTTTAGTGACTAATTCTTTTCAGAAGTAGACTGCCAGGTCCTTCTTCCTAGTCTGTCTTAGTCTGGAAGCTCAGCTGAAACCTATCCACCATGGGTGACCCTGCCGATATTTTAATACCAGTGGCATAGCTTTCAGCACCACAGTAACACTCGTGCCCCCCCAGTACAAAAAACTGACAGATGTGTGGGAGAGCTTATATTTAATGAGAGTGAAATAAAGACAGCAGCAATGGTTCATCTCTAGGGAGTGAAATGTGCCAGTGTGCCTGGGAGGGGGATAGCTGTTCAGATGGAGAATAGGGACTCTCATACCTAGGGAGGAAAGAACAAAACCAAAACCAAATCCATTGCTGTCCAGTCAATTCTGAGTAGAACTGCCCTATAGGATTTCCAAGTCCTTAATCTTTACAGAAGCAAACTACCACATGTTTCTCCTATGGAGGGGTTGGTGGGTTTGAACCACTGACTTTTGCATTATCGGCCAACACTTTAGTCACTGTGTCACCAGGGCTGCTTGGGGTAAAGAACAGGAGATACTAATTATAAGAGTCAGAAGGAATGTAAAGACCATTTACTTTCATCTCCTGCACAACTTTATAATGTCATCTGTAGTCAGAAATCCTGATTTTGGAATGTTGTATTCCTTTAGATAATCTGATGAAAATTATGGTAAAATGTTTTATTTATTCACACAAACTCAACATCATAAACATAATTTCAGGAAGTTTAGTAACTTCCAGACCTTTGCCAAAGATCCTCCATGGGTCCTCAAATCCCTGGATAAAAGCAAAAATTGTAAGACAGCATCATTTGCAAAGGCCACCCTCTGCTTGAGTACCTACAATGATGGAGACATGAACATTTTTTAAAGTAATATATCATTACCTAGGGCAATATTATGCAAGCAAGAACTTTTATAAAGCTTTATCGGGAGATGTGCATTAAGATAAAATTAGCAGAGAAGGTATAAATTGCTTAACCTTTTTTGTGTAGTAATATGGAAATATGGATTTAATTTTAAAACTGTCCCTTGATCCAGGAAGTCACTTTCAGAAATCTATTCTGTAGAACAAAAGCACTCGTATGCTTTTCCATATGCAAGGAAATAGAATGCAAAAATATTCCTTGAATAATCAAGGTATATAATTGATCTTACCTCATCCCCCAATTTTCCTTCTTTCTTAGTGGATGCCCAGCTTGGTGCTGCATCAGCCCCTCCTGCTTTCTCAGGTCAGTGAAATGTTTTTATTAAAAGCCAGAGAGATGTGTCTGATTTGAGGAGGTCTTTGAGTGGTTTGATATACTCAGTGAGGGGTCATTCCTTTCATCTGTGTTATTTACAAAGATTGACTAATGTTAGAGACAAACAAAGAAAATGAGTATGATTTCTTTATGCATAGATTTTAGGGTGTGTCTCAGTCATCTAGTGCTGCTATAACAGAAATCCCGTAAGTAGATGGCTTTAACAAAGTGAAATGTATTCTCTCATAGTTAGGAGGCTAGATGTCCGAATTCAGGATGCCAGCTCCAGGGGAAGGCTTTTCTCTCTGTGTTGGCTCTAGGGGAAGGTCCTTGTCATCAATCTTCCCCTGGTCTAGGAGCTTTTCAGCATAGGGACACCAGGTCCAAAGGAGGTGTGCTCCTGGCTCTTCTTGCTTGGTGGTAATGAGGTTCCCAAGTCTCCCTGCTTGCTTCTTTTATATCTCAAAAGAGATTGTCTTAAAACACAGCCTAATCTCATAGATTAAGTCTGGCCTCATTAACATAACTGCTTCTACTCCCACCTCATTAACATCATAGAGATAGGATTTACAACACACACAGGAAAATCACATCAGATGACAAAATGGTGGACAATCACACAATCCTGGGAATCACGGACTAGCCAAATTGACAGATGTTTTGGGGGGACACTAATCAATCTATGACAGGGTGTAATATTCAGACAGAAGAGCATGCAACAACAAATTATTGGGGAAAACATCTTGCATCTGGGGAAGTATAAGTAGTTCAATGTGCCTGGAACATAAATTATAAACATGAGACTAGAGAGGTAGGCAAGCGCTTGATGGTGAAAGTCCAAGGAGGATGGTCCAAGTATTTTAGAGTTTAGACAAAAACCATGGGAGAACTGTTAAAAGGTGGATAACAGTGTTCTGACTCTTCCAAACACTGTGATTGACTGATTGTGGTTGGCAATGAGACAGGAAGTGAGGAATTGAGTTAGGAGGCTGTTATGAAAAATAAGACCAGACATTAGCCGGGAATTGTTTAAGATGATGGGAGTTGTTATGTAGAAGAGAAAGAAATTCTTTAAAATAAGGATCCGAAATTCCTAGGACCCAACATCCATCATTGGAGCCTTGGTGGTGCAGTAGTTAAGAGCTATGGCCAAAAACCAAAAGGTCAGCAGTTCGAATCCACAAGTTCCTCATTGGAAACCCAATGAGGCAGTTCTACTCTGTCCTTATAGGGTTGCTGTGAGTTGGAATTGACTCAACAGCAGCATGTTTTTTTTTTTAAAGTCCATCATCTGCTAAGCAGTGGATCCAGATCTGCAAATATCTGTCTTCTGATGTCCTCATCTCCATATTAACATTAAAAATCACACAAGGCAGCAATCAGCATTGTGCTTTGTATCTGTTTAAACATAGTGTGGGAAATGACAGAAAGTCCAACTTAAATTGACTTAAACGGTAAAGGGAGTATCCTGGCTCAGCTGAATGAAAGGTCAAGAAGTGGGACTGACTTTATATGAGGCTGATTCACTGGCTCATGTGATGATGTTACTCCATGTCTGCACTCTGCCTTCCATAATGTTGGCTTCATTGTCAGACTCTACATAGTCTAAAAGGCAGGGCTCACATCTCACAACAGACCACCAGAGAAAGAAGAGAGCATCTTCTGATACCTCCCAGTGAAGAGAAGGCTCATCAAGGTGTCACATTGACTTGGAATTGATACAAGTCCATTTCCTGGCCACCCCTGTTGCCAAGAGGTTCAGTGAGGCTGACTAGTATAAATAAATCACGTCCCACACCTGGAGTTGCAATTGGGGTCAAACTCAACTAAACAGTATGGTTAAGAATCAGGTAAAGGTGATTTCATGAAGGAAATTCAAAAAACTTCCCTATAGTTGGGAGCTTCTATACCCCCTAAATGTGTAGGGGTCTTGAGCAAGAGATGTCATCTGTTGCCTGCAGGATAAAATCTAAGCTCATTAGCTCAGTGTGCAAGACCTTTCACAAGCTAGCCCCAGCCTACCTCTTGAATCAACTCCTCATCCCAGCCACCATGCACACTGCACAGCAGCCACACTGTTTTCCCCTCTTTTCCTATTTGCCTGGTGTCATCTGGGCTCTAAAACCAAAATCCTACTCCTTCAAACCCTTCTTTGATATTAACTCTTCTGTGAATACTTTACCAGCCCCGCTTACCGCCAGGGTCTAATCATCCCCTTCTTTGTGATCTGAATGCAATTGTTACATTTCTCCTTGATGACATTTATAATAATAGCAATGATGATGATGATGATAATGGTGATGTAGGTAAATGCTATTTATCAGACATATCTAGTATGATAAATATTCTGGGACTTATATGTGTGCTTTATATCCACCATTTAATTTAATCTTGTCAATCAACTTTGGCTGGGCTACAACTGAAATACAGAGTAGCATCAGGGTGAACATGGAAACATCCAGAAGTTAACAATCATGTACCGAGTATCTCGGAGCACACAGTGAAGCATATAATAGACATAGACCCTGCCCTCATGGGGTTTGTAGTCTATCAAGGTGACTAAAATGAAACTAGTTACATAGTGATTTCTTTTTACTGTAGTATAATATATATAACAAAACATTTGCCACTTCAACCATTTCCATGTGTACACCTCAGTGATATGAATTTTGTCCACCATGTTAGGCAACCATCAACACAGTGATTTTTAAAATGCAACTGTGATACGTGTTCTAAGGAAAAATTAGAAGGATTTAGGAGTGTATATAACAGAGTCCTTTGATACAACCTTGAGGGAATGAGAAAGTCACAAGGGCTTTCTGAGAAAATAAAAAAGCGAAGTTCATGTTAACATCAGAAGATGGATGAGAAGTTGCTAGACAAATAGGAGAGGTAGGGAAAAAAATCCAGGCAGCAGGAATAGATAGGAAAAAGGTTTTTGAGGCACTAACTTCACTCACATTTAGGAAATATTGAATATAAAATTCCAGTGAACTTTTCAAGATAAATCCAAAGACTTCACAGTCTTGAATTATAGCCCCAGATGACGTGGCATTAATTATCCCTGCCATTGCTGTAAAAAAAGAGGTTTGAGAGACACCAGCTGAAAGTAAAAAATTAACTCTTCTCTTAATGAAAAAAGTAAGGTGCAGGGAAGTGATTTGACTTCACCAAGATTATAAAGATATTAAGTATGGGAGCCACTATGAACTCTCAGTCTGCATGATGGACAAATGCCATGTCTTTCCCCATAGGCTTCTGTTACCCTGTGTGGTAGCTCTTCATTTAAATTTCTTCCTGCACAGCTTAGGAAAAAATCCTCGAGAACAAGAAACCTGTCAAATTCATCTTCATATCTCTAGCATCATGCACAGCTTCTGACTATCTATCGACTTGAATGTTTTGGTTGTGTTGTTAAGAGTAATGAATATATGAACGTACACCAATATACAGCAATCCAGTCTAGGATTTAAATGAAAAACAAAAACTAGGAAAGGAGAAGCTGTCAAACTTGTAAGGGAGAGAAGGGATTGAGGAAGTCACATTCATTGAATGCACCTAAATTCATGCACCACTGTCAATGGACTAATTACTTTGTGCATGCGTTTGTGTAAGACAAGCAACAATATCCCCATCCCAGATAAATGACTTTGGTAGGTCCTGAATCCGTTATGTGAGTTGTTCCTCCCTAAGTCTGCAAACCTCTCTCCCATCCAGGAGCAGCCTTTGTGAAGGAGAACCACCGGCAACTCCAAGCCAGGATGGGAGACCTGGGTGGGGTTCTGGATGATCTGAAGGACAATGAGGTCGTCACTGAGAATGAGAAGGAGCTGGTGGAGCAGGCACAGATATGGCAGAGGATGAACAAGACCCTGTTAAGGATAGTGGAGAACAAACGGGACCAGGCTCTGGAGTTGCTCTACAGAAGCCTCAGAGAAAGGGATCCTTACCTTGTGACCTACCTCAGACAACCGAGCTTGTCACCGTGACTCAGACAGACAGTGTGTTAGTGAAGGATTAAGCTTGCCCAAAGACACATTTGCTGTTTGCCTCTGATTCCTGGCAAGTAACCTCTAAGTCCTTGGAATGTCCTGTTTAATAAGAGTGTCTTTGTTTACCTGGAGGTATTGGATCTACTAGAATGTCCATGACAGCCATGTTATTTATGGTGGGGACTTAGCGCAACGGGGTATCAGCTTGACTTCTGGAGGGACGGGAGATTAAGGTCAGCCATATGGGTGCACATGACCAACCTCCAGTAAAAACTCTGGACATCAAAGGTTTGGGTGAGCTTTGCTGGTTGGCAATATTCCATGCATGTATGATTCCACTGGGAGAGGACAAGTGGCAGCTCTGCAGCTAGAACTCTCCTGGATCAAGCCCTATGCACTTCCTCTTTTTGCCAATTTTAATCTGTATCCTTTCACTATAATAAACTTTAACTGTGACTATAATGGCTTCATGAGTCCTCTGGGTCTTCACTGGACTCCCCAGTCTTGAATACAAGGAGAAGGAATCTACTTTTCTTCACTGGAAATAGATAAATGGAGATACAACCATTGAGTTCTGTGTCCAGGACAGAGGAGGGCTGGGTAGCACCTAGCCATAGCACAGGCTGTGTTGAGAACTGGCAGGTACCTATTTACTGTATCCCAAACTTGGGGGAGGGGATACAAAATGCAATCAGGTGAATTTGGGACTTCTGCTTCTGACCCAGATGGAATAAGAGGGACAATATCTACCTTCTGTGATCGTTAAGACTGTGTGCCAACTTGGCTGGGCCATGCTTCTCAGTGGTTTGGCAGTTATGATGTAGTTTGGCAGTTGTACAATGATGTGGGAAACTCTGGTGGCATAGTGGTTAAGAGTTCAGCTGCTAACCAAAAGGTCAGCAGTTCGGATCCACCAGGCACTCCTTGGAAACCCTATGGGGCAGTTCTATCTTACAAGAGATTAAAGGAGAGAGAAGGGAGCAGAGAGAGGGAAACCTCATGCCACCAAGAAAGAGGCACCAGGAGAGGAGCGCATCCTTTGGACCTGGGGTCCCTGGGCTCAGAAGCTCCTAGACTAGGACAAGATTGATACAAGGACCTTCCCGTACAACTGACAGAGAGAGAAAGCCTTCCACGGGAGCTGGTGCCCTGAGTTCAGACTTCTAGTCTGTTAGACTGTGAAGGAACAAATTTCGGTATATTAAAGCCATCCACTTGTGATATTTCTGTTATAGCAGCACTAGATAACTAAGACAGTTATACTATTTGCATTGTGTCACCGTTCTCGCTATCTCTGCCCACATTGTTCACCATCACTGAATCAGACTCTTTCTCCCCTAAATGTCTCCTCTGTGTTTCAGAGTTACTATTGTCAGTTTGATCTCATATAGATAATTCTTTAAGATCCCACTGCTCAAGGTGGACATTCTTTACTAGTTGACCTAAACTGTGGTTTGGTTCAAAGATCACTTCACGGGATACTTTTGTTTCAAGATTATCTCAGGGCAATAGGTTCAGCAGTTCCCCAGTCACAACCAGGCCAGTAAGTCTGGTTTCCATAAGAATTTGAAATTCCGTTCCTCATTCTTCCTCTTTTTGATCAAGAGCCATCTATTGGGTTCAGAAATGATAGCATGGCACTATCCCATTCTTCTGGTTTCATGGCAAAGTGATATTAAGTAGTTCATAGAAGCAGTTAGACCTGCAGTCCGTAAGTGGGAATTTTTAACAATTGATTGAACAAACATATGCTAGGTGTCCTTTCTAAGTGCTTTAAATGTTAACTCATTTGAGGCTCATAAGAGCCCTATGAAGTAGGTGCTGATATTGTTCCCATTTTATAGCAGGGGAAACTGAGGCACAGCGAGGCTAAGCAAGTGGCCCAAAATCACACAGCCAGCAGGTGGTAGGAATCCAAATGCCTCCTTCCCCCTCCCAGCTGTCCACCCCAGAGCCATGGCCCTTCAGCACCAGGCGGGAGGCCTCCACATGAGGGGCCAGAAATATGGTTTGTGCTTCATCCTCCCCAACTAGGAGGTTAGCTCCAGAAGAGGGGAACTGTCTGGCCCACAGCAGGCATTTAATGAACAATTCAAACCACTGACCTCCACCGACCTTCGGTTAGCAGTGGAGCACTTAACTACTGCACCAACAGGGATCTTTAGAGCTTCCTACTCTGCCATTTTGCATGAAGTCATGCCTGGGGCAAATTTCTGGCGTCATCTTCATGCACTTCTCTTTCCCTCAATCCCCACATTCATTACAAAATCGTGTTAGCTTGATCTTCAAATTATATCCAAAAATATACCCTACTACCAACTTTGCCTCTCTGGTTCAAGTCACCTCCATTTTGGGCCTGTAGCCCCTCCCAGTCTCTGTGACTGCCACTGTCCCACTCTGGCCTGTTCTTAGCAGAGCAGCTGTGGGGATCCTATCAAAATGAAAGTCCGATCACACTTCCTCAAAGGCTACCGGATTGTTGCGTTGGCCGTCAAGGCCCCTCACGGTTTGCATCATCCTCCCAGCCGTCCCACCGTCCTCTGCCTCCCTGCTTCAAATGGCGGCCTGCTTATTATTTACACAGCACGCCAGGCTGCTTCTCCTCAGAACCACTGTGCTCACCGTTCCTCTTTCCTCTCTTCTCGCGACCCTTTGTTCTTAGGCACACAGAGCCTTCTTCCTCTCCTCCCTCAGTCCAGTACTATTGAATGTGGAACCCCCCCACCCCAGTACATTTCCCAGGTCTACAGACTAGAAGTTTGAAATCAAGGTGTTGACAGGGCCATGCTCTCTCTGAAGGTTCTAGGGGAGGATCCTTCCTGGCTTCTTCCAGTTTCTGGTGGTTCCTAGTAATCCTTGGCATTTCTTGGCTTGTAGATGCATCACTCCAATCCCTCCCTCCATCTTCACATGTCTGTCTTCCCTCTGTTCCTGTCTGTGTGTCTTCTCTTCCTGTAAGGACACCAGTAATATTGGATTAGGACCCACCCTACTCCAGTATGACCTATCCTAACTAATTACATCTGCAGACTCTATTTCAAATAAGGTCATATTCACAAGTACCGGGTTAGGACTCTGAGCATATCTTTTTGAGGGACACAATTCAGCCCATAAAGGAACTTCACCTCTGTGGTTTTCCTCCCTTGAAACCCATGACCTCAGTATAATCATGATGAAAAACATCAGACAAATCCCAGCAGAGGGGCATCCTACAATATCCCTGACCAGTACTTCTCTACACTGTTGAGGCCATCAAAAACAAGGAACAAAAAAGGTGAACGTCATTAATGTCACTGTAAAAAAAAATGTACACATAAAAAAATGTTCATCAAAGAATGTAATCAGTGTCACTGTTGTAGTTGTTGTTAGGTGCCCTTGAGTCAATTCCGACTCACAGCAGCCCCAGGTACAACAGAATGAAATACTTCTGGTCCTGCAAATCTTTTCTTATATTTTTACACAATAAAAAAAAAGTTGAAACAGCAAATGTTCAGTAATGTATAATTTTATCACAATAAAAGAAAAGAAGAATGGAAGGAAAAGCCCTAAAACTACAAGGACCATTTGGAAAATTATCACAGTCAAGAGGAACTTAAGGGGAATGTCATTGTTGAGTGCCATCCAGTAAATTCCTAATCGTAACAACCCTATAGGGCAGAGTAAAACTGCCCCATAGGGGTTTCTAGGCTGTAATCTTTACAGGCGCAGATTGCCAGGTCTTTTCTCCTGCAGAGCCACTAACCAAAAAAAATCAAACCTGTTGCTGTTGTGTCAATTCCGATTCATAGCGACCCTGTAGGACAGAGTAGAATGGTCCATATGGTTTCCAAAGAGCGGCTGGTGGATTTGAACTGCCCACTTTTCTGTTAGCAGCCAAGCTTTTAACCACTGAGCCACAGGGTGGGTTGAAACTACCAACTTTTTGGTTAGCAGCCCAACAATTAACCATTGTGCCATCAGGGCTCCTTCTTAGTTACCTAGTGCTGCTATAATAGAAATACCATAAGAGGGTGGCTTTATCCAATATAAACTTATTTGCTACTAGTTTAAGTGGCCAAAAGTTTGAATTCAGGGCACTGGCTCTAGGAGAAGGCTCTCTCTCTGTGGACTCTGGAAGAAGGTCTTTGTTTTCTTTTCAGCTTCTGTTCCTGGGTTCTTTGGTGATCTCCATGTGGCATCTGTCTTCCCCATCTGTGCTTCTTGCTTCTCTGCCTAATCCACTCTTTTTACATCTCAGAAGTGATTAGGTTTAAGACACAACCTACGCTGATATGGCCTCATTAACATAACAAAGAAAGAGCTGTTCCCAAATGAGATTACATCCACAGGTATAACCAAAACTAAGCCCATTGCTGCCCAGTCAATTTTGACTCCTACTGACCCTATAAGATAGAGTGGAACTGCCCCATAGGGTTTCCAAGGCTGTAACTCTTTACAGAAGCCGACCACATCTTTCTTCTTGTCTGGTGGGTTCCAACTGCTGATCTTTCGGTTAGCAGCCTAGCACTTTAACCACTGGGCCACCAGGGCTCCATCCACACTTATAGAGGTTAGGGTTTACAACACATATTTTTGCAGGGCACAAGATTCAATCCATAACAAGGCCTGCTATAGAGTAGGAGCTTGATAAATACCAAATGAATGAATGAACAAGAAAGACCAGGAACCTTTTCCAGAGCCCTCTAGACAACACTGAGGGGCTCTCATGCCTGGCATTTCCCGTGGGCTCTGCACCCGTGGCCCCATAAGTCCCACTTGCTTGCCTGGGGATAGGTCCAGGAGCCCCAAACCCAGGTCTAGGTGACCCCAGGTTCTAGTTTCTGTGCATCAGTTTCTCTCATTCCCTCAGGCTGGTCCATGTGCAGGAAAGAGTGAACGCAACAGACTTGAAGTGTTCAAATCCTGCACTTTACAAAGAAAGGACTAGCCCTTGTCTGGCTCCTGGGAGCTAACCTCGAAACCCCTGGAATATCCTGCCTAAGAAAACCAGCTGCCAT